TTTTTTTTTTTTCATTTTATAGTAAAACTCCAGGGAAAAAATTGTGTTTTCTAGTGTGGCAGTCATGTGTTAAAAAAGTTAGTGATGTTAGTTCTATAGTTAAAAGTCATGTCTTCTGGGACTTAAGATTATTAACAAATAACATAGTTTTTACTGTAATTCTAATAATATTCATCAACATTTACAATTTTTATAAAGCAACTTGAACTTTATTTCTTAAAGATAACCTACAGAGAATTGAAACTTTTGCGATGTGAGGCAAGTTGGATGGCATTTTGTCAGTGCACGTCTCTTCTCCAGCTGATGACTGATTTGGAGAAGAATGCATTAATCATGTATTCTAAACTGAAGCAGATGTGTAGAGAGCATGGGCACACATACGTTGAAGAAGCTGACTTAACTTCAATACTGTCAGAGCATATGTCATTTCATGATGCTTGGGAGTCACTGAAGTTTTTGAAGGATATTGGTGTGGTAGCATGTGAGAAGGCCTGTGTCTTCCCTTATGACCTTTACCAGGCTGAAAGAAGCATTGCCTTTTCAATATGTGACTTGATGAAGAGTCCTCCGTGGCACTTACATGTTGATGTCAAAAAGGTGCTTGCATCTATTCACACCACAAAACCTGAGAATTCAAGAAGTGATGATGCATCGAGTGAAAGCAAACCTGATGAAACAAGATTAGAAAATCCTGTGGATATTGCAGACTCACAGGACAGTGGTGACCATATCTGGACTAATGGTGACAATGAAATTAATGCAGAAATCAGTGAAGTCCAACTGGATCAGGATCAGGTAGCTGCTTTGGAAATGATTTGCTCTAATGCTGTGACAGTCATAAGTGGGAAAGGTGGTTGTGGGAAGACCACAATTGTTAGCCATCTTTTTAAGCATATAGAGCAGTTGGAAGAAAGAGAAGTAAAAAAAGCATGTGAAGATTTTGAGCAAGACCAGGATGTCCCAGAAGAATGGATTACCTTTACTGAGCAAAGCCAGCCGGATGCCGTCAAGGCTATAGAAGTTTTGCTCACAGCACCTACAGGGAAAGCAACTGGCTTACTGAGACAGAAAACTGGTTTCCATGCGTATACGCTATGTCAGGTAAAACCTTTGACATTTCATCAGTAGATAAAACATTTGCCTTAATGACAAACTTATAACAATCAGTGGTTATTTATTGACCGTCTCCTAGATAGATCTCTGTCTTACTGATCTAAATTAATCATTTAGATCAGTACTATTTTCAAAACACTCCATCTGTAAACTGTTACTGGTTTGTAGTGAGAAAGGAGCATGTGCCAGAGAGCAAATCAGTGCGCTACTTCCTTCATTGAGAAAGTCTTGGCTGGGCATGGTGGCTGTAATCCTAGCACTCTGGGAGACCAAGGTGAGAGGATAGCTTAAGGTCAGGAGTTTGAGACCAGCCTGAGCAAGAGCAAGACCTAAAAGTAGAAAAAGTCAGCGAGGCATGGTGGCCCACACCTGTAGTCCCAGCTACTGGGAGGTGGGTTAGGGACTGAGGCAGGAGGATCGTTTGATCCAAGGATTTTGAGGTTGCAGTGAGCTATGATGATGCCACTGCACTCTAGCTGGGGCGACAGAGTGAGACTCTGTCTTAACGAAAAAAAGTCTTAATGAAAAAAATGTCAGTTGAGCCAAAGTGTGTGCTTAATTGACGTAGTTAGTTTAGATCCTGGCACAATTGTCTGTTTCTCATGGGGACTTGTTGCAAACATGTTCACAGACCATATTTGAGTAGCATCTAGAAATGGAAGGAACTGGTTTATACTTTGTAGAATGAAAGTGAAGATTTTGATCATTTGGTGTAGTTCTTTATTTCCTTCACCTAGAATAGTGCCTGGCAAATAATAGTCACATAATAAAAATTTCAAACGAAGTCATATTCTTGAAGAAAATAGTATGAGCTGCAATTAAGAGTTGTGGAGTTTAAGCTTGTAAAGAGTTGGGGGAGGTTCCTCTAGCCCTGACCTGCCATTTTATAGATAAAGGAACTTGGTAGTTGGAAGATTTTTGAAGAAGGTAATTGAATTGGACCCTGAAGGACGTGGAGGCTAGGTGGGGAGAAGGGTATTTTATTTAGGGGAAAGGCCTTTCACAGGCATTGAGGAATATGATCATAGTGTGTATAGAGGGTTTTAAGGTGACTTCACTGATTGGGATAAAGTTTGTGTGGCAGAATAATGGAAATTAAAATTGGTTTAGACAGTGAATTCAAGCTTTAAAATTATTAAAGTATTTTGACTTATGTCATGAAATCCTTGATACAGCGATGTTATCTCCACTTTTATAGAAAAGCCAACTGAAGTTTGGGGGTGTTAAACAACTTGTCCAAGATGTCAGTTAGGTGCAGAACTAGGACTGGAATTGTGATTTCCCAGTTCATTGCTCTTTCCATGGTGCCGTAACTTCCTCATTTATTATGGGTGTTGCACATCTAACAACAAAATTTAAGTTTAGTTACTAGAGAGCAATTTAGGTTCCTAAGCAAGAGAGTGAAATAGAGAAAACAGCTTTAAGGAAGACCATATAGAATTACATAGCCACGAGGCATCTCAAAATTTATTTTGCCCATTACCTTTATTTATTACATGAATGAATGGAGACCTGGAGAAATTCAGCGTGTTTTATGGGTAGAAGAGTCTTCTGACCAGTTTATGATTTTTTTGTACTGTGACTTTCATGTCTAATTAGTCTGAAGGATCGAATTAGAAGGGGAAAGACCCAGAGGGATCATTATTAAATTTCATCTTATGTGTAAACTCTGATTAATTGGTAATATCTTAATATCTGCTTGGATGCTAAGAGAACATTTCTGAAGCCACATTTAGGCTCAAGAGAGAGTTCAAGGGCTCAAGAGAGAGTTCAAGAGCACAGAAAGAGCATTGGAGTAGCATTTATACCACTTATTTATCATCCTTGGACTAGGGTTGTCAGATATAGCAAATAAAAATACAAATAATTTTTTAGTGTAAGTATGTGTCAATACCAAATATTTCATGGACACTCTTATACTAAAAAGCCTTTTATTGTGTGTTTGAAGTTTAAATTTAACTGGGTATCCCAAATTTTATTTGGCAGTCCCATCTTGAGCTAGTGTATAGGGGAACCTGGCTACAAAACTATTGGAGTCCTTAAGGTGCTCATAGATGGGGCCTGTATTGAGTTGGTAGCACTGGAAATACAGTGGGGAAAGTGTCAATCAGGCATTTCTAAGATAACTATTGAATGTATAAAATAAGAGAAAGGCAACAATCAGAGGTAATTCCAAACGTACTATTACGAGACATGGCCCCTGAGACAATGAGAGTTTTGTTGAAAGGAACTGATACTTTTGGGTGGGAAATATGAAGACTTTACTTAATAGACATGTTGAATCTAGTTTTGGTAGAAAAATTAAATAACAGTATGATACCATTTTAAAAATCTGTATATACATACAGGTTCAAAATCCGAAATCTGAAATGCTCCAATGAGCTTTTCCTTTGAGCGTTATGTTGGCACTCAAAAAAGGTTAAGGATTTTGGAGCATTCTAGATTTCAAATTTTCAGATTAGGAATACTCAACCTATAAATATCCACATTTATAACAGAGAACCATTTTTCAAATGATCTACACTAAAATGTTGAATATTCTCTGGTTGCAATTTTGTAACCAATTTTTTTCTTAGTTGAATTTTAAAAATAATAGTATTACCTTCGTAACAAGTAGTTTTGCTGTTTAGTTGTTGTTGAGGAGGTGGTGAGGTTTTAAAATGTTGAAGAGGTGAGGAAGCTAAGAAGCTTAGAATACTTGAAAGAAAAAGTAGTATTTTTATAATTATGCTGAGAAAACAGCACTTTATTTCCAGAATGGGGTAATATAGTTAGAAGAGGAGGGCTGAAGTTGGGTATTTCAGAAGGCCAAGAGAATGTTTATTTGGGAATGGAAAAGAATAGGGTGCTTTCTCTGGTCTCTAGTGATGAGAGAAGTGTTGAGATTGTTGCAGTGGAATGGTGCTGTGTGTGAAACTTATTAAATTAAACACACTACTCATTAGGAGGCAATTTTTAAAAACTATTTCATCATTTTTTGTTTTTAGATTTCTTTAATATGTCTTTTTCTGAATATTCATCCCTATAATTTTTGTATTCTGTTTCTTTAGCCTTTTCCCTGTGTTTCTCTACTCCACCCCCCAAATTAAGAGTTTTGTTTTAAAATAACTTCCTGTTAATTTATTTTTATAAATGTTATAACCCGACTTTAGAAATGCCATACTTTGCTTGTAGGTCAATTATAGCTTCTATGTGTGGAAAAATAAGATGACCAACGACAGGCCATGGAAATTTGCTTCGGTTAGAGTTCTGGTTGTGGATGAAGGGAGTTTGGTATCTGTAGGAATCTTCAAATCTGTTTTAAATTTATTATGTGAGCACTCCAAACTTAAAAAGCTTATTATCCTTGGTAAGTTAAAATATTATTGGAATTCTAAAGTTTTGTTCAAAATATTGTGGTTAGTCGGTATCATTTTACTGTATCATTTCCTAAAGATGGAAAACCATTTCTCAGAATTCATACCAAAGCTACACTGAGTTAAAACTGACCATTCTCCTAATCAGCTTGGGTGGTTCTTTGTTTTGGCCAGGACATTAACCAGGCTAGGATGTGAAAGGTTACTGCTAATCACCTAAATGATGGCTATTAAAATAGTAAAAATATCACAAACTCAGAGTAAATCAGGAAACAGTAAAAAGTCTGAATTATAAACCACTTAAAAGTTATTTTATAATGTTAAGCTAATATAACTCAAATTGACCTCACCAGCCTCTTAAGTCCTTTAAATTCTGATGAGGTTCAGTTAGGTTCTGTTGAGTAGTAATGATCTGTAGACTGTATGATTTAATGGATAAAAAATTGCAATTTGAGAATCAAATTGTATATAAATACAGTTTTTTAGATATTTGAGGATAGTTTCTATGCAGTTAGTTCTATTAATGGCTTAAGCATTCTCCTTATTTCCACCCAGTACATATTTTTCTTATCTCTAGATTTGTTTGTTTGTTTCAAGACAAAAAAAA